CCAACACAACCCTCACCTTAGAGCCAATCCAAGTCCAACAAAGGCCAAACCAAGCAAATCAAGACCAACAACTAGAGCTAAACCATGTCTAGCAAAGCTAGAACAAGAAAATACAGCCCACGCTAGAGCTAAACCAAGTCCAGCAGGCCCAAACAAAACCAACACATCTTCCCATCTAGAGCCCAAACCAAGCCCAACCAGGAATCAGAGCCAAATCCAACCAGGAACCAAGCTCAATCAAGAAACAGAGCTAAAGCCAAGCTCCCAACAGGAAACAAAACCCAAGCTAGCCTAACCAGGAACCAAGCTAAAGCCAGCCTCCAATTAGAAATCTAGAAATAAAACCAAAGCCAGCCATTTAAAGCCCAAAATCGAGCTCCACAACATTAAAATCCAGATTCCCCTGAAGCTTTAAACATCCAACTGTTTCAACGTGACTTCAAATCAAGCTAGAACCGAGCTCAACAAGAACTAGGAGCCAAACACAGCCCCCCCAATAAGAAACAAAGCCAAACACGGCCCCCCAAACTGAGCTTTGACAAAAACTAAAGCCAAAACCGAGCTCCCAAAAAGAAACAAAGTCAAAGCCGAGTTCAACAAAACCAAAACCAACATCAACAATATTAAAATTCAGATCTTTATATATATATATATAAATGCAGTTCTAGCTATTTCAAGCCAAAACCAAGCCTCCAGAACAAGCCACAACACTTTCTAAATTGAATAGATTTTCTCATAGCATATATTTCAAACCAAGGAGTGCCACAGGAAGCCAAAACCGAACCCCCAAGCATGCATAAAACAGTAAGATGCAATCCCTAGTTCAAGCAAATAACCAAATTCAGCTCTTAGGACATGCCCACATTTCATTTTAAGTGTACTTGAAATGAATATCTCAACAATATGTTAAAGTAAAATGAACTAGCATGTTGTATCATCCAACAGGGACAGGCTCAAAGCCTCGGCAAAGAGGAAAACCGAAAGGAAACAGGGCACCGAAGAAGGGGGGGAAGAGAGGGGTACCTCAAGAGTGCTAAAGTAAAGCCCTGCAACACAAGAGTTCGCCTCAAAGAAACGCTATCACAGAAATTCTCTTCCCAAACTCCTCACAGCCAAAATTTCTACTCTCCTCTCTGAAAACTTTTTCAATAACCTCAAAAATTTCAAAAGGAACTGTGTATATAGGCAGAGAATAGAGAGAAGAGAAAGAAGACCACCCTCAACAGTCCACAGCACTCGAATCGGGCCAAAGAATAAAAGGACACGCTCCCTGCTCATAGAAGGCGAAGCCACCGAAGTCTCTTGGACCGAACGGCGAGACTAATGGCAGGGGGGGG